GCACAGCTCTGTACACAATAAATTGGGATGCCCATTTTAACGCTCCCAACACACCATCTTCATGGACAACATGTTAATCTAGTGCCTAATGTATCCCACTGACTTTAAGATGCCTTTGTAATGAGATAATCAATGCAATTCACTTTACCTGTCAGTGATCTTAATATTATGGTTGATCAGTGTATTGTACATTCACATCAGTAGTCCTTGCCCTCAAGGAGATTACAGTCGAAGGCCCCTAAACACACATACTAGGGCCAATTTAGATAGGAGCAAATTAACCTACCAGCATGTCTTTGCGGTGTGGGAGGAAACCCACTGAGGCACAGGGAGAAAATACAAACTATGCAGGTGGTGTTATGGTTGGGGTTTGAACCAATGACCCTAGAGCTGCCAGTCAATGACGACATAGACCTAATATGAACATGCCCTTATTTGGCCAATGATGTCACCTAGGGTACTTCGCTCCCTTGTTTACTTTAGCAGCGGAGATTCAGACATCTGACATGTCTCGTGGACTTCAAAGTTTTTTTCTTTCACGAGGGTCGGCGGCCATTGTTTGTCATGACTGAGTGGACCTGCATCACTGAATGACATGATTGATGATGGATGTACATTGTGGGACATTTTAACATTTTCAAATAAAGTACTTGTCAAACATTTGAGTGTTTTTATTTCTAGGGTACATTTGTTTTTTTGTGAATGCACACTGGGCGTTTTGATAACACTGGTAACATTAGCTGTGTAAAGTCACGTTAAAAACTTTTTTTTTCTTTTTTTTTTTTTTTTTTTTTTTTTTTTAGAGTTTTTGCATTAGCGTTTAGCCGCGTTTTTTTTTTATTTTTTTTTTTTTTTTTTTTTTTTTTTAGCATTCTTTTTTATTTTGTTACAAAAAAATAATTGGGGGGGCAAAAAAAAACCCCAAACCGCTAGTTTTAACGCGTTTTTCAGCGTTAGAGAATTTTTACAGCTACAAAAACTCCTCTAGAAACCCACTAGTCCTGGGTTTTTTTCCCAGCCAAAAAATATACCTGCCAAAAAACGTTGATTACAGTCTATGTGTGCATGGGCACATAGGATAACACGCTGGGGAGTTTACTGGCTGTAGAAAAAAAGCCAAAAACAGCCGCTGTAAAAATGTCCAGTGTGCATGAGGACTAAGGGATACTATGTATGTATGGCGGAGGGGAAGCAGTATCTGGTGTACCCCTTGTTAAAACAGGCTTCCAGGTTCTGATAAGTCTTACCCCTCACCCCCGCCTGCAGACAACCACCAGCCCATGCTAATGATATTTTTAAATTAAACAATATTCTTAAATGACACCTTCCATTAATTTGGACCCAATGATTACATCTCTATGCAGTACATGATGGGTGGAAGGGGCCAGAAGGGTGCTGTACATAACTTCATGAAAACAAAACAGTACCCTGCCTCACTACTACTCTCAACTCTGATGCAAGCAGTGGGCCAGCTTTTGGGAGGCGTTGTGCAAATGTCAAAATAGCTTGATGGGTGGATATCAGTCTGGAGGAGTGGGAATTCCTAGTCAGACTGTATTTGCAAGAAGACTGTCTAAGTGACACCCACATGTGATAGTAAACTCCCAGTATTGGGGAAACTTAACACCAATGAATGAAAGAGGTGGGTCAAGGACAGTCACGTTGGGAAGGAAAAACAGCAGATGATACATACAGAAAATGAGGCGGGCTGTATCTAACTTGCTACAGCTTTTAATGCACACTGTGAGAAGCTCTCAGTGTGTATTAAAATCATAGAAAGCAGTTTCAGTATAAGAGAGAAGCCCCTTAAAGCATTCAAAACTGAAGGGAAGGCTGGAGTTCAGCTTTAAACTAAATTACTAAAACTTAAAAATGTAAAATCATACACTCATTTCCACATTGTATTAGAATTATTTCTAGTCTATTACTATGGATGATCATGGAGTTTTTAAACCTACGTTGTGAAGATCCAACACATTTACTTCTGTGACACGTAGTCACTATGCCTTGTGGGTAGGCCTGCCTTCTGAACTACAGAAGGGCCGAGAGGAGTTTTAGGAGGCGGAGTCAGCACAGGAATAACTGCTTGTAATCAGCAAGGTACCATGGGATATGTAGTTAAAAGTAAACTGCATAGGAAAAGCTGCAAAACATGCAGGGAATCTAGGAAGTTGTGGAAAGAGATGGCCAGCAGACAGGCAGAATTCGCAACATAAAAGGAGAATTTTCAAGCAAGCTTATATTGTATTGAAAGTGTATGATGCGACCATAGAACTCCTTTACTAAATGCAAAACTTTTTTTTTTGTATAGTGTGGAGAGGAATTAGAACATCCGCCAGTTTTTACTGCTGTCTGTGGCCCTGTTAGGGAGATTCCCCCTACCTGTTTGTCCTGTTTACCATTATCACTGAAAGTGAAGAAAACCCAAATTTTGGGTTGATATCAGAAAAGTAACAGAGGAGAAATCCTACAATGGGGATCCTAGTTCTGGTGACCCTGGTGACATTCTGGGATTCCCTCACTTTGGAGGAATCTCCTATCACTTCGTTTTTTGGTTATTGGGCAGGAGGTGATGGAAAATCTCCCCAATGGGACATGGATGGCAGAAAAAAAACAGACAGGAGTTATGACCCTTTTTTTCTCTACCCCCCGTTGAGGGGGCACTATTTTGTCTCCATCTCCCAACTGCACTCCTTGAGTTATCAGCGTGTCACATGGGCTTCGGAAGGAAACTACAAGTAGCTGTTTCAGCACTTATTACACATCCATGGTCTACTGATGTCACCATCCAGAAACCTGTTCTGAGATATGCCATGCAGCCATGAGGAACATGCATGAATACTGAAAGTGGCTACAAAGAGGCAGCACTGAGATGCAGCACAAAAAAAAAAAAATATTTTTTTTTCCACAAAATGGCAATTGCTTATTATACACAGCACGTTGGCAAACTAAATGCCATTTTGTTAGGGTTTACTTTAAATAATTTCTGAAAAAAAGTGTTAAAGAGCTCAGTAAATCTTGAGGCTTTTTAACAAAAACATAGATCTGTCTGTGACTGTTCCCCAAAATGACTGGAAAAAGGAAAGAAAACACTAAAAGGTAGAGAAATTTACCAATGTTTTGCTAATACCATTTAGAAATATGCCAACTTTTCTCCTCGTAAATGACAACCTTTCCATGCAAACGAAGAAAGAAAAAACATTTATCACACAGCCCGAGCATAGCATGGAATAGGCACATTCCTCTAATCGTCTGTCATGGACTTCTTAATAACCAAGAACACCATATCCAGCTGCACCTGCAAACACAACAAGAACCGCAGGAGTAATAACCACAGGAAACTCAGGCAGAGCTTGCGTACCGAGCCACGGTGAAAATTACTAAGTTGGAAAAAAAAAAACAAATAAAAACAAAGCTAGACCTTAGGCCCAAATACTCTGGTGTTATCGGGGGCTTCCCCCACCCAGATGCTTGCATTACGATACAGATGTAAAGAGTAGCAGTCCCTGACGGGTTTTTGGCAAGGTTTCATTTAAACTAATGAGAATGAAGGATAAGCTGTGACTCTTGAACAGATTTTATGGCCAGATGTGAAAGATTGAGAAGCAAAAGAGACAAAAAAAAAATCTTTTCCTTCTGTCTTTTGCCACAACATATCAACTTCTAGCTTTCCCAGCATTCCCCTCTGAACACTAAATAAGAGAAAGGCTTTTTGGAGCTACCTTAACAGTTCAGGAAACGTAGCCTGGCTGGTTCTCTGCTCAATGGAACGCTTTTATTGGGCCAATGGCTAAAATTCTTTGTGGATGTTGTTACAGGCAGGCTTTTGAGACCCCTAAAGTCCAGCTTAAGCTCATTTTTAACAGCTACAATGGATTTTAAATGTTGTTTTAACACAGGAGGCTATAATTGAGCATGAGTGGCCCAGTTCCTCTCCAAAAGATCAAGTACAAAGACGTGATTTTCTTATGGTCCAAAAAAAACTGAACTCTAACAATATGTTACAAATCATTACGTCGAACACGAAGAGACACTAATGGAGGAAAAGGTTAAAGTGGGTCAGGAGAGTGTGCTGAAAAACACACTTAATTTGCATTGCACTGAAAACAAACTGCATGAATGCCTTATGTACAAAAAGCTACTAATGATTTTTAGGATGACTTTAACTTGTATAAGAATTCACCACTATGAATGCTACAACCTGGAATTAAAACACATTTAAAAAGAAATGTATACTACAATACGTTTTTACTAATATTTTTGAATAAGGTCAATAATACTACATATTGACAATTAATGCTTAAATTTCAAGGCCTCACGCACACAAAACGCTAAAAAAAATAAACACACTCCTAGAAGCCTTCCTCCTGGCAGCAGCAATTTTACAGGAAAATACACCTGACGCTTGTAAAATTATCTAATGCTTTTACAAGTGTTTAGGCGCATTTACAAGCGCCAAGCACTTGGGCGTTAATTTATTTAATTGTCCAGAATAATAATTTATTCGTCCATTAAAATTAATTAACACTCAAGCGCTAAACGCACCTAGCGTTAACATGCGTTTAGACTTGTTTAGATGCAATTAGCTGCGTCTAGCGTTTTTTCTGCTCCTGGATGCACTTTCTTTCCTGCTGGCAAAGGCTACTGCTACTAAAAGCTTCTAAAAGTATATGTGTGTGTTTTGGCACATAGGATAACATGGAGGGCCGTTTGGAAGCAGTAAAAAAGAATACCTGATGTGAGTGTCCAAAATGAGTGGTGTGGAGAGAAAAGATAATATGGTGTTGATGGGGGGCTGGCATTAAAGTGAATGTATAATTGAACAATTAACTATTTTTTTGTTGTCTGTTGGTCTGTTAACCTCCCTGGCGGTATTCCCGAGTGTAGTTCGGGGTAAAATTTCAGTACCAAAAGCGATAACCCAGAGCTACACTCATGCTTACCATGCGGCGTTGCTCACGGATTCCCTGCAGCGCTTACCTTGTCCTTCGCTCCCACGATGCGTTCCCCTGCAGCATCCCTGCCCATCTCCTCCGGCCGATGCCGGCATCCGGCTTCCGTGTTCCGATCCCTGCGAGCATTGGGACGTACAGGGGCCAGAACCGGCGGCAAATGTAAAATGTAAACATTTTAGAAACTGTCATTTTCTAATAAACGAATATGACATAGAAAACTATACGGTTTCAAACCATTTCACATACATTTTGTCCCTACTGCTTTGTCCTGTGCCCTGCCTGCATTTTGACTGTTCTTTCTGCCTGGAAACTTAGAAAAGTCCATGGCGTCCAAAAAGCGTCGCTTTAGGTCAAAAGCGGTTTTAGACCAGCTAGAGAACAGTGATAGTAAATCGGAACCACTTGCAGAATTGAGTGATGATTCATGGGGAAATTCGTCATCAGACACTGAAAACGATTCTGCGACTTTGCTTAGCGATGTGCAAACTTGGCGCTATATTTCAAATTTCAGTGTTTTTGGTTTTATTATATTATTGAATTAAATTAGTATTATATTATTATTTTTTATGATTATTAAATTATAATTTAGGATTTCGTGTTTCAAGTTTTATCCTACCCGAAATGTTTACTAGATTCTTGTTCGGACAGATTTAAGTAAGTTATTCCTAAAAATTACAGGCCTACAATAAAAAAATACATATTTCCATGCAAAAAAATGTACCGCTTTCAGCACAGAAATATGGACATAATCAGACCGCTAATGAGGTTAAACAGATCATTCAAATTTTTTAATCATATCTGCTTGAGAAGTGCAAAAACAGAAAAAAGAAAAACCTAGGGTGACAATGCTGCTTCTCTATAGGTACAGTATGGCGAGTGAGCATTGTTATAGGACAGGAAATATACTACTGATGGGATCAACAGGTAAAAATAAAATCTGGGGAAAAAAAAAGGAAAATAACACAGCCACCACATTTAAGAACTGGCAAGCTGCAAGATATATATATATATATATATATATATATATATATATATATATATATATATATATATATTAGTTTAGATAGGCTTTGAAAGAGAAGCATGGAAATATAAAAAAACAACCATATTTACCTAGATGGCTGCTGCACTGACCCCAGCTGCAGCTGTCCCTCGCTACCTCTAAGAAAAAACAGAGCAATCAAGCACTGCTGGTTGCTCAGCTCTCACTCTTCAGCCTGCAGAGAGCCAGTGACTGTCAGTCACCGGCTCTCTGCTCTGCCCCTCCAGTGCTCACTGGAGCATCGGGCTGTGCAGGAGGCAGGAGCGGCTGGCTTAGGCTCTCAGCAGCTCACTGAGAGGCTGAGCCACCTGCCGGTTCAGGCATATTTCCCCAGCCTGGACAGGCTAAGTGACATCAGCTGACAGTGGGTTTAGCCCACTGTTGGCTCAAAATGAGTCACAGGAGTGCAGAACTAACTGCACTCCTGTGATCCAAAGGAGAAGTATAGCCAAAAAAAAAAAAAGCACTGGCTATACTTCTCCTTTATTGTAAACCAACTTTTTTGTGCTACATGAAAAACTGTATATAATGCTTCTGTTTTGTGCATGGTGGGAAGAGGTATTTGAGAATTAAATATTTGCCAGCTGTGGGGGAAGGTAATCATCACTTCATATATGGCTGCTGTTGGGTGGAAGGAACAACAGTATTTATAGTTATTTCTGGGTCCTAATGTTTTATAGATAGTCTGATTTCAGGAAGATTTATCCAGGCCTGGTTTTAAAAGGATTATGGATCCCTTTTATCTGAGATGTACATTAAATTGTAGAAATTCCAATTATATCAATTTTATTTCTGGGTAGTTACGATACAAAATGTAGGCATGCCAAAAGGAAGTAAACAAACTACAACTGAAGGCAATATAAGAGGCAAGTAAGGGTCCCTTCATGATAATTTACATCATTTTTTACATCCACCACAATGCAAAAACAGACCGTTTGTCAGTTTACATCTGTTTTTCATCCGTTTGTTTTTTTGTAACGAAACAAAAACAGGGCTTTGATCGGGATGTTGCCGTATGCAGATATAAACGGATCATCATCTGTTTACATCTGATTTTCCATAGAGATGCATTGATGTCCATTTTTCATCCATCAATGGATGGATGAAAAACGGACAAACGGAATGCCGTGAAAAGGGGCCTTAGAAGGAAGCGAGATTATAACACTTATCTAGTCTGTGTCCCCAATTAAGGAGATTTATAGTGATATTAAAGCTGAAATTCACCCAAAAGGGGAAGTTCTGCTTTAAGGCATCCTTTCCCGCTACTCTTTGAAATTTGCCATTTTATTTTGGGGGGCAAGGGGGGGGTTGTAGTTGACGTATCCTGCTCTCACTTATGCTTAGCTCGCATAAGTGATCCGTGTGGAAGTTCTCCCCCCACCACACTTCCCCTCCCCCACAATCTTCTGGAACACATCACAGGTCCCAGAAGACTGTGCGACCATTCACAGTGTGCAGCTTGGTTCGCACATGCACAGTGGGCACCTGGCTAAGAAGCTGCAAGCTGTCCCTCAGTGCCCACAGTTAAGATGCTGGCGCCCCCTTGGGTGAGCACATTGATGGATTCTGGTACAGGTAAGTGTCTGATTATTAAAAGTCAGCAGCGGATCACCGATCCATGGAAAGAGCCAAAGATGTCGGCTCGGTCATGTGATCAGCTGTGTCCAATCACAGCTGATCACATGTAAACAGGGAAATGCCGGTTATCAGCATTTCTCTCCTCACGAGCTGTCACGCTGACAGCTCGAGAGGAGAGCCGGTAATCGGCATTCCTTGGAGGGGACATCTACACTGATCATCAGAGCACTGATGATCAGTGTGCCCTGATGATTAGTGTAGCCCCAGCAGTGCCACCTGTCAGTGTCCATCAGTGCCATGTGTTAGTGCTCATCCATGCCACCTGCCAGTGCCCATCAGTGCCACATTTCAGTGCCTACCAGTGCACATCAATGCCACATATCAGTGCCCATCTGAGCTGCCTTTCAGTGTCACCCATCAGTGCCAGTCAGTGCCACCTTTCAGTGCTGCCAATCAGTGCCACCTATCAGTGCCGCCTATCAGTGCCAGTCAGTGCCGCCTATCAGTGTGCGTCAGTGCTGCCTATCAGTGCCCGTCAGTGCTGCCTATCAGTGCCCGTCAGTGCTGCCTATCAGTGCCCGTCAGTGCTGCCTATCAGTGCCCGTCAGTGCTGCCTATCAGTGCCCGTCAGTGCTGCCTATCAGTGCCCGTCAGTGCTGCCTATCAGTGCAATATATGAGTGCTGCCTTTCAGTGCCCATCAGTGATGCCTGTCAATGCCCATAAGTGCCACCTACCAGTGCCTCCTCATCAGTGCCCATCATTTCACCTATTAGTGCCCATCAATACAGCCTCATTAGCGCACATCAGTGAAGGAGAAAAATCACTTATTTACAAAAACTAAGAAAAATTTTTTTTTCACAATTTTCAGTGGTTTTTGGTTTAAGAACAAATAAAAAACCCAGAGGTGATTAAATACCACCAAAATAAAGCTCTATCTGTCACAAAAAAATGATAAAAATGTCATATGGGTACAGTGTTGCATGACCGCGCAATTGTCAAAGTGTGACAGCACTGAAAGCTGGAAATTGGCCTGGGCAGGAAGGGGGTATAAGTGCCCTGTAGCCTAGTGGTTAAGGGTGTGCACACTTATGCAACCATAATATTTTCGTTTTTTATTTTTACTTCCCTCCACCTAAGAGATTTCAGTTTGTTGTTCAACTGAGTTTTACAGTATATACAGTGGGGCAAAAAAGTATTTAGTCAGCCACCAATTGTGCAAGTTCTCCCACTTAAAAAGGTGAGAGAGGCCTGTAATTGGCATCATAGGTAGACCTCAACTATGAAAGACAAAATGAGAAAAAAAAATCCAGACAATCACATTGGCCGATTTGGAAAGAATTTATTTGCAAATTATGGTGGAAAATAAGTATTTGGTCACCTACAAACAAGCAAGATTTCTGGCTCTCACAGACCTGTACCTTCTTCTTTAAGAGGCTCCTCTGTCCTGCACTCATTACCTGTATCAATGGCACCTGTTTGAACTTGTTATCAGTATAAAAAGACACCTGTCCACAACCTCAAACAGTCACACTCCAAACTCCACTATGGTGAAGACCAAAGAGCTGTCGAAGGACACCAGAAACAAAATTGTAGACCTGCACCAGGCTGGGAAGACTGAATCTGCAATAGGCAAGCAGCTTGGTGTGAACAAATCAACTGTGGGAGCAATAATTAGAAAATGGAAGACATACAAGACCACTGATAATCTCCCTCGATCTGGGGCTCTACGCAAGATCTCACCCCGTGGGTCAAAATGATCACAAGAACGGTGAGCAAAAATCCCAGGACCACACGGGGGGACCTAGTGAATGACCTGCAGAGAGCTGGGACCAACGTAACAAAGGCTACCATCAGTAACACACTACACCGCCAGGGACTCAGATCCTGCAGTACCAGACGTGTCCCCCTGCTTAAACCAGTACATGTCCGGGCCCATCTGAAGTTTGCTAGAGAGCATTTGGATGATCCAGAAGTGGATTGGGAGAATGTCATATGGTCAGATGAAACCAAAATAGAACTGTTTGGTAGAAACACAACTTGTTGTGTTTGGAGGAGAGAGAATGCTGAGTTGCATCCAAAGAACACCATACCTACTGTGAAGCATGGGGGTGGCAACATCATGCTTTGGGGCTGTTTCTCCGCAAAGGGACCAGGACGACTGATCCATGTACAGGACAGAATGAATGGGGCCATGTATCGTGATATTTTGAGCGCAAACCTCCTTCCATCAGCAGGGGCATTGAAGATGAAACGTGGCTGGGTCTTCCAACATGACAATGATCCCAAACGTACCGCCCGGGCAACGAAGGAGTGGCTTCGTAAGAAGCATTTCAAGGTCCTGGAGTGGCTTAGCCAGTCTCCAGATCTCAACCCCATAGAAAACCTTTGGAGGGAGCTGAAAGTCCGTGTTGCCCAGCAACAGCCCCAAAACATCACTGCTCTAGAGGAGATCTGCATGGAGGAATGGGCCAACATACCAGCAACAGTGTGTGCCAACCTTGTCAAGACTTACAGGAAACGTTTGACCTCTGTCATTGCCAACAAAGGATATATAACAAATTATTGAGATGAACTTTTGATATTGACCAAATACTTATTTTCCACCATAATTTGCAAATAAATTCTTTCCAAATCAGCCAATGTGATTGTCTGGATTTTTTTTTCTCATTTTGTCTCTCATAGTTGAGGTCTACCTATGATACCAATTACAGGCCTCTCTCATCTTTTTAAGTGGGAGAACTTGCACAATTGGTGGCTGACTAAATACTTTTTTGCCACACTGTAGGTTACATTAAAAGGTGGTAAAAGTTCTGAAAGGATTTATCTTTGTCTCATTTTTTTACATCACAGAAACCTGACATACATTTAACAGGGGTGTGTAGACTTTTTATATCCACTCTAAGTGAGGCTTTACAACCACTTTAAAGTGGTTTCCCAAAACAGTTATATTCAAGAAATGCTGGGAATGATAATGGTTACATTTTCTTGTGCTGTGAACCTAACTATGAAGCCATCAAAAGGCTGGTGTCATAACTGATCGAATGTGCAGCACCAACTGCAGATCAAACCAAGGCTAAGATGGCAGCTTCCTTGGCTGTAAAGGACAGGAGGTTTTAGTTCCGCTTTAAGAGAGGAAAGTAAAAGAAGTTGTATTTTATGAGCATATGCAAAAGTTATAAGGTTAAAATCAGGTCAACTTGGTGAGGAAAACAAGATTTAAAGAGTAACTAGGGAAAAAAAGATATGAGTGTGGGAAAACGTGAAGTATCTGGATGTATTTTCTAATCATCTTAAATAATGCCAAACAGTGAAGCAGAGGGAGCACTTAGTGTGTAAGACAGAAAAAATGCACCGTAGTTTAAACTGAAGATAGGATAAATGTGGCGGTATTACAGATGTGATTGTATCGTTGTCTAGGTGACAATACAAAAAAAAAAAAAAAGAAAGAAAAGTCTACAAACTGGAGATAAAGCTTGCAGCCTCAGATAACGCTCATATAAAATTGTATTCACTGAGCGATCGTAATTCCGAGATGGATAGCTCAGATGATGCACAACTGAGAATCAGCTATAGGCCACCCAAATTCTGTCTAATAATATTTATGCGCAGAAAGTGACAAACGATGTTCAAACAAAGCCACAAGCCAGAAAGGATATTATGATATATATGAACAGATTGGTTAAAGTTCCTCCCTAAATATGTGTCTACTCTTAGGGGAACTCCTGCCTATTACACTAAAGTATTATTCCAGGGAGCAACTAATATCAATCACTGAATACCGAATGCTAAACCAAGAAACATTACAACTGTCCTGAAGTGAGAGGTCTGCTCAAAGCTCCACAATCCAGCATTTAGTTTTATAGAAATATAATGCATTTAAGATTAGCAGGCTTCCCACAGTGCTTCTGGATAGGACTGCACCCTGTTCATGCATAAATCTGTCATCAACAACTTTCTTGTTTGAGAACTACAAAAGGAGGCTCCAGGAACAAGATAGCATTTATCTTACAGGTTTAAAGGCTAAGTTCATTTTTTCAGGCAGACTGTGACATTTCATAATAAACAGAATCCTTTTCTATTGTCTTTTCTGGCCCAGTCATCCCAATATGTGTATCTCTCACTTGTCACTAGTCCATGGCAGCCTTCAATCTGCACCTCTCTTTTCACAATTTCAAAAGATATACCCTAAGTCCCTGACTTCCCGTAACGAGCCAATCCAGGAAACTTCAAATCCCATCATGTACTGCCTTACTGCGTCACAGAATAGGGTGTGTTTTACCTCTCTCTGGACCTCACCATCCTCTTTAAAAGTATCATTTTTTTTTTTTTGTTAATTTCCACCCACTTTCCTACTTCTTTCTTTAAGGTTGCTATACACCGTACAATCTTATTGTACAATCTCCTTTAGATCTATCGTCAACTGTGTTGTGCAAGGGCCTGCCTGATTTGACACAGATTGACTGAATTGTTCAGGTGGGTCCTCTTATTACATAGCTTTGGTAAAGCTAAAGGAAATTGTACATTTGGTTGTACAGTTGTACAGTACAGTTTGTACAATCAGACTGCACAGTACTGTATATTGCCAGCTATATACGAGTACACGGGAGGGAGCAGGTGGAGGATCTACACTGCAGTTGCCATTGTTCTTGTAACAGAGCTCCAGCACATAGAGGAGGAGGGTTTAAAAACACCAATTTCACTTTGACCCCATTCATACCTAGCGCATGTTTTTCATCGCATTTTCCTTTGACATGCACAGAGCAGCCCACTGATTTCAATAGGCTGCCCTACATGAGACAAGAATGGCAAGTTGTTTATGGAGCATTTTGGAATGTTGCGTCCATGACTGCGAAGCTGCTGCATCTGCATAGAGGCTCAGCACAAAGTATGAGTCTCAGTGCCCATCTGAATGAGCCTCAAATCTGCTCATCAATGCATATGAGCTAAACGCTTCATTTAAAAGGGCCTTTGAAATTGTGGAACACCTAAATCCAGGGGAAATTGATGAGGGAATCTCTTTCCCTCTCTGCTGTCTATCTTACCCCCCCCCCCCCCCACACCTTTCCCTCTAGGCACATATAAACTATTATGTTTCAGGTGTACTGGTTTTTAAAAAGGCATGGCAGCCCACTTTTATTCAAATAAAGCAAAAAGGAAAGTTCAGACAATGTAAACTTCACAAAGATTCCCATAAAGGGGATTTTCTAGCTTTAGCAAAACAACAGATCACTGAAAATACTGGCCCATCTGGCTACGGTTCAGCAGCATTGCTGTTATTATCTCTGGTCCTTCAAACTACCAGCTCTTCACACTAGCTCAGCCTTAGTTGCAGTACCTCACTCCACAAGCCCACTCCTAGCCTTTAAATAGGGGGTTCCATCCTCCTGAGCTTGCTCACTGCTCTAGAGACTTCTGGATTCCCTTCAATCCCCTGGACTCACTAGCCGCCTCAGTTTTCTTTCCATATGTGTTTCAGATCAAGCACCCTTACAAATTCAAATATGTTTAGAAAATATATTAGGAATCCCACATACGGTTTCCCATAACAAACATGGCTGGCGGAGCCATGTTTG